ACGAGGAGGAGGAGGAAGACGACGAGGAGGATATGGTGTAAGAAGATGTTAGAACGGAGGAGATTAGACCGGATCGTAGGAGGTGAGAGTCGCGCGGCTGGATTCGGAGTCGATCGTTGTCAAAAAGGGGATGGTGTGGTGCGAACGGTGCGGGTGCGAAGGGGCGTTTCGAGACACGGAGGACGACAACTGGAGGACGCTTAGGAAATCGTCGAGCTGGGCAGGTGCGAATTTTGCGGTTTCTTTTTGTGGAAAGTGTGATCTTGAAAGGTTCGATCGTGATACACGGTTCTGGTCTGGCTGGTCGTGAGTTCAACTAGATCATTTTTGGATACAATGGGTTCTAATCGGCTGTTGTTTCGCTATCGCGTACAATAGTAAGGGATAACAGGCTCCTTCGCGAGACGATCTTTTAATCTCGCGTGACTTTTAAGTCGTACTAAGCTGTTGCATAATAAATTTCGAAAGTCTTGAAACGAGAGATACCAGTGACGTTGAATCAATATTTCTTCTTCTGAAGTAAAAATTAAGCAATAACGCAAAGCTAAAATTACTCGAATCGTTACATTTTTGTTGATTTTATTTTTGTAAAAACTGTCTTCTTGTTGCTTCGTTGTGTTTTTATTTATAAAGTAAAATGATCTGATAATCCGATATTCGTATGCTGTGCTTTGAAACGAGTTAAATACGTAATTGTTTCGAAAAGCGTATTAAACTATCGAGGAAAATGCTAAATCGAAATCTTGCGCGGTACGTCGTACGTATGTTCGCGATTTAAAAATGCCTGACGGAAAAGTTTTATCGAAAGAAGAAATTTATAATGCAACGATCTATGTTTATTAGTTCTATGGAAGTTCGAACTGTAATGCCGAGTAAGTACGATGTCGATCTTATTTTAAAATTAAACACGTGTTTTCGGTATTTTGAATGATATTGAATTTCGAATTAGTGCCAGTTATTTACGCATCTTCTATTTCGATAATTAGAAAATCGATTTGAAAAATCGTGCGGCGATTCGGATAATATCCTCGCCTTTTCCATTTTTGACCATTTCTCTCGTAGTCTTTTCATTTACAAATTCGGAACCGTCGATGCTTCAACGGGATCTTGTTTTACAATTAAATTGATATCGTCAGCGAAACTAACAAGTTTCCAACGATAAATTCTCTTGCGCAGCGTAGTAACAAGTTTGATAAAATACGCAGAGTTCTAGAAATTTCTAAAAGTGAATTTTACAAATTACAAGAACCAGCTGACGATATTCGACATCAAATTATAAAATTGTAAAGATTATTCGTCCAGTAAAAGTTGATAATCTACGATTTGTTGTTTTTCAACTCGATAATATCACGTATTATTCATTAGTTATCTACACGTGTTTATGCAAAACGCGTATTTTTGTGAACGTAACTAACCCAAGTAAAAGTTTGTTTCGCCCGCTAAATTTTCCAACGTGTATTTTCAATATTCTTCGTACTTCCGCGCGTTGCGCGTACTTCGCGTATATTTCTTCTCAAAGTTACCCATAAACTCATCGATATTCGTAGCATTCTCAATTAATCGCGATTCGCTGATATCGTTAATACTGTACAAGAAAATCGAAGCATTCGAGTGTTATAAATTCCAGTCAGTTTCCATCGATTTATTATTTATTTTCCATCGTCGTTCCATTCCCAAACTCTTGAACCTAACTTGTCCATTTATAAACGTAGATTATCTTTTAACACGTTCGTTCATTTCTAGTAAACATCGATTCTACGAGTCTGAGATTAATTTATTTGAATAGATTCTTGTTTCCAGGATCGTAGAAATTTTTGGTTAGAGAAAGACGCGTGTTTCGAAACTCACGGTCGACATCGTACGAACGCTTGGTCGCCGGATTATCTCTTTGCTCTTCATCGTTACACGAGGCAATCGACGTTGAAAAAGAAAAATATGTCAAGACGTCGATTAAGCTGTACTCGAATCGTGACGTACGGCCGCGAGACCAGACATAAGATCGCGATGTAAAGGAGAAAATAAAACGAAGATATTCGTAGATGCTCGACGAGTTCTCCATGGACTTCCGGTTCGCGACCTTTTTCGACTGACGTTCACCACGATACGCATAGGTTTTTTTCTGTGATACGCGACAACGATGCGATCCTCCGGCTGCGCCACACTTGCCTCGACCGTCAGCCGTTCTCTCGTTCCTTTCTTAACACGGAAACGCAATCGTCGATTCGTTCGAACGATTCGTTTCTAGTCGCAATACACGTGTGCAATTTCCTTCTTGTCGGAGGGAAGTTGATCGGGCGAGATCGAGTCGAATATTTTCGCATTTCGAGACACGAACGTGAACCTTGGTTTTCCTTTCTTTTACTTTCTTTTACTTTATTTTGTTGCTGGTTATTACGCGGAATATTAACTCGAATATATATATGTCGCAATCTCATTTTTGTTTTAACAGGACGACAAATTTTTAACGTTCTTAAACAATTTTAGGGTAGGGTTTTTAAAGTAGGCGAAGGGAAAATTTCATATTTTCCTCGATCTTAAGTTACTTCGATTATAGAAAGATAAGATTGCGTAGAGAATAACGCAAGGGATACGACAAGATTCGATAGTTAAAATTCTACAGAGCTCTATGTAACTGGTTTTCTTTGATTCGATGATTTTGGCGTTTACCAAGATTACCGTCGTTGAATAAAACCAAGCTTGAAGATGTCGTATGCTCAATTACCAAATAAAAATAATCGAGAGTCGTTATCTATGTAATCTCAATACTTTAATCGAATTCAACATCGTTCCTTAGACTTTATAACATAATTATTTATTGTATTATTTTGCAATTTAATTATTTGATAATAATAAATATAATAAATAATATTTAAATAATATTTGACGAGGACATGTGTTTAATATAAGTAAAAAAAGATACATGTTAGATAAATATAACAATTTTTTAATTTTATCTTTACACTGTAATACGACTACTAAGATATTTATCTTTAAAATAATTGCAAGATATTCTTTATAAAGTAATTACAATTTTGTTTTATATTTATAAAGTTTATTTCCCAGATATATTAAATAATATATCCAAATAAATATCTTCAAACTCTGTGTTTTATTACGATTGTTTCTAGTTAACATTTGTTGACTGATAATTCATTCGTTTGACAATGCATCAAGTAGCATGTTACAGATTGAGATAAAGACTTCAGATTCTGTATTTAACACGTTGACTGTCACGACTCCCGTATTCGGGTGTCAGCGAAGTTTCCGGTCGGCCAGCGTAACCCATATTCGGCTTGTTTTATATTATTTGACTACTTGCGAAGGATCGTTGTAGGTATTTGAATTCCATAATAATAAAACTGTTGAATTGTTATAAAAGTAAGACGAAAATAATTTATTAAACAAATTATTTAGAATGTAAAACCTTAAAGCATTTTATACATAGCTGAGGTTGGTCGGGACAATTTGGACAATAAATTCTTGTTTTCTTTAAATTTTTTTGTGCCACTATTCGGTCCATTCGACGTTTTTTATTTGCATAACATAGTTTGCACGCGCGTCTAATGCTTCTTCCGAAAACATTTTTCCGAACGGCGATATTATGCCGACTTCGAGGATTTTTTGTATTTTCAGATAACCCTTTATAATTTTGCAACTAATAATTGCCCAAATATTCTAATATTTGTATTCTTCATTGTTGCAATTTTGTAAATCGTCGAAGCGTTTACAACAGAAATTCCCAGAAGGAGTCGAATGCCAAGTTTTCTGTACCATTTGATTCCTTTTCCAATTGCAGTGGCATAAGAAACCATTTGATCGGAATAATCCATACCACGCTTTCCTTCGTTATATTCGACAACAGCTAGTGCTTTTAATGTTGCGAACAAACGAAACGACACATCATTCCACGAGACCACCGCTTGAGCGACTCGCATTCCTAAAATATCGATGGGAGCACCTAACAGAGAACGTTTGGTACTGCTGCACGCGTGGCCTGACGGAGATTTCTTTGAAAACGCGCGCGACAGTCAACGTGTTAAATAAAAGTCAAATTCAATTTTTCCAAGACAATACCGAGTTTAACCACTCAGGTACAGTACGCCACTGTAGCGGCTTTCGCTCAGCGTTTGAACCAAACGATCTTTTTCGTTTGTTTTGCTTCACACTTTTCTTGCTCTCGTAATGCTTTGTAACAGCGTTAACGATATTCGCCAATTCCTAATTCAGCAAAATTCAGCTGTACCTAAGAGGTTTAACACGAAACTTCAGTCTTGGAAATGTTCCGTTATTTAAAGTTTCTGACTCGATTCTTGTACTTCTTCGAGGAACAAAGAGCAGAGTCGACGATCAATAGACGATTGTTTATCGAGTATAGATTGCGATACTAGAAAGCGATAGCGAAGGATTTTTCTAGGATTATCTGTACCTTCGATGATATATGCCTATTTTCAGCCGGTCGTTGATCTCAATCCCTCTGCTCTTCTCTGTTTCTGTAATTTATCGTTCCGATACAATTGGACAGGCC